GGCCTCAAGCCAGAAATGGCACCATGATATTTTCCTTCCCATTTCTGTTTAAAAAAAAGAACTTATCCGAATATACATTTTAAATAGATAAAAACCTTCACAGGGTGTGAGTTATGCTTATAAACACAATTAATTCGCATTCCTTAAGACGCGAGCAGCCAGATATACCCTAAATCAAAATGTTTTTCAACCAAATTCAGGGTCCCCAAAACAACTGAAATTATTAATGTTCTCATGTGCCACATTTATTTTAATTTTCACTTAAAAATATTATGATTTTTGATAATTTTCAGGAATTTCTTCAAATCTACATTCTGCAGAAATTACCATGTCAATGAGAATGACATGCAATTTTTGCGGTCTTTGATGACGTCATTTGAGCGATTAGCTTTGATTGTTCTGCCAGCGTGTACTGTAAAACTCCAGACAATTGTTACAGGCCGTGTCTGTAATTTTGTCTGAGTGGCGTTCGTTCCAATTTCTTACGGTTTCATTCCTATAAAGAATGCAGATTTTCCAATGCATATATTGGCCCACCCTTTCATTTTTTTATAAACAGTGGATACTAATACCGTGCAACTTCATGCAATATGGTCATTTGTGTCAAGGTGCACCGTTATTATTATTATTATTATTATTATTATTATTAATAATAATAATAATAATAATAATAATAAGTGTCTCCTTATTGATATGGCAGTCCCTGCTGACTGCAATGTATCTTTGAAGATATTCAAAAAGTTGTCAAAATACAAGAACCTTGAAATAGAAATCTCGAAAATGTGGCATATGGGACCATCAACAATCCCTGTTGTAGTTGGAGCCCTAGGATTGGTTGGAAAAGATTCCAGTAGACTAATTGAAGGGATTCCTAAAAGTTCATGCCTCAAACAGATACAAAAAATTGTTCTGACAAGTACAGCCCACACTTTACGAAGGGCTTTATCTATGTATTTTTTTTTTTTTTTTGTCAGTAGTAAGTGTCATGATGCCATTTCTAACCTTAGGACCCTGGGCGGAAACCGGAAAGAAATCTGTAAACGCCAGAAATCAAAGAAAATAAAAATAATAATTGTTGAGTTTTTTTGTTGTTTTGTTTTGTTTTACGACCTGGCTCAAAATTTTAGCCTGAATCCTTAAGAGGTCGACACATCCTGATTGTTGGCACAGTGGGTTGGACATGTAGTTGATATTCCCAGCATATTTTTCTAAATAGAATGTGATTCTTACGATTGTGTATAGTAGTTTTAAACCTTCATTATATTGGGTATGTTTATGAGCAGATCAAATTCATATAAAGTTAACGTGATAGGATAAGGGGGAAATGAGAAAGGTTTATAAATTTAACATGATTCGCTTTTATTAAAGCTTCATCAGAGAATTAAATATGGAGTATAAAAAAATATTAATTTAAATTTTTGTGGTCTTTGTTTTTCACTGAATACACTGAATGTTGCTTGATGTACTTACACGTGTATCAAGCAACATTCGTGCGTAGGTATAATTCATTTGTGTAAGTGTATCCTTATTCTACTTTGTCTGAGCGAGATTCTGATGATAATATATTGGTGTGTGTGTGTCCAATTGATATTTTTATTTATGTTTGGTGGTTTGTGTGAGGATCAAAATATTTATCTAACATCGGTTGTAGCAGTAGTAGGGAGGCATTTTTTTTAAGTGTGGATTTTATAAAAGTTGGGGATACAATAAAGTGTATTTGACGTGTGTTTATAGATGTTAAAATATTTATCAGAATTCCCTCAAAGTATTTCCTGCGGAAAGAATTGTATTCTTTTTTTAATTAGTTAAAATGTGTAGAGAATAAATGAAAAGTCTTAACAAATAAAATCATGTCGAAAATGCAGTCACCTCACAGAAGAACCTTGTTAAATATGTAGGCTTGTGTGAATATTTGAGAATGTGCATTCCAGGAGTATAGCTTCATAATATGTTACATTGATAAAGAAAATCCTTGATAAAGAGAAGCCATGAGTGAAATCTTTTGCATTTCATCAAACGTCTGTTTGCCAGGTAGCCGAGAAACATCATTTTAACATATTTTACTATGACTCCTAATGCACTAGTAAGAATTTGGGATTGTCTGCGTTTTGAAATGCTATATCTTCTGTATCTTCAATTTTCAATGTGCTTTTACTTTATTGAACAATTTATCTGAAATATTTGCATCAACAGACGATACCTACCTCAGGTAGAAACCAATTTCTTCCCAACAAATCTTTGGTAATTATATCCGACTTATTAGCTTTTATTCTTCTGTCTGGAGTACAAAATTCCACAGAATATCATTAGATATCACAGAATTTTGTTTGCGTTCTCACCAATTTCTCCCGTTATAGGTTGTACTTGCCACATATTATCCAGTGTATAGATTGTCATATTTTGTCATGGTGTAGAATGAAATGTTCAATAGTTTCTAGTAATAACATATTTGCATATATTTTCTTTGATGTAGTTCGTTTTTCCATCGGGTCTTGATTTTTTTTTTCAGTTCTTTTTTGCTTTTGATTCAAATTATTTTGCCTTGTCATGAGCTGCCCTTTTACGTTTTGGGCTTTAATGTCTCTTAAATCCATTTCGAATACATATTTCCAGCTTCCTTGGTGTTGTAAAGTGAACGAAAATTTTTTTCTTTTCCCGTGTGAGAAACGAATCCTTCGTCGCCAATGTGTTGTAGAGTAATTTTCACAGTGGAGGCTTGTATTTCAATAAGTCGTCCTAAATTAGGTTCGACGTACAAAACGTTAGGAGCTTGAAATAAGAGTTAATGACGCAGCAATCTAGTTGTGATGGTTGATACTTCAATGTCCGACATCGACTAACTCGCTCAACATCACTGAGCCCAGCTGGCCACTGCTACTACTACTTATTATCTGTGGGAGAGTCTATTACAATAGAATAGGTATTATGGAAACAGAGAAAAGAGATCTTATCACTTCGTGTTTGAATGCTACTTTTAGCATTCAATCTTTGCTTCTTTGAAAGTAATCATGAAGTCTAATAATGGCCAATTTCCATGACATAGCCCTCCACAACGTCTGCTCTCGGAAGATATAATCTGTTTATGTGTACCTTCGGATGGTGAATGCACTTCGTTTTTAATAGTTTTCGTATCTTAATATCTACTTTTCGGATCTCATTTAATATACAATTTATAATGTTAAAGTTGTACATCACCACAGATATTGTTAATATATTGACTGCTTTTATTTTATTACGTGCATTTAATTAAATGGAAAATTTGAAAAGCTAAGATTATGTCACGTGCCGAGAATGAAGTCAACTCAGAGGAGAACCTTGGAAATATGAAAAATATAATTGTTGAATGTTTGATAATGTACATACCGATTGTATAGGTCCATAACCTGTCGCATTGATAAAGAAAATACCGAGGATGAGTGAAATCTTTTGCATTTCAGCAAATGTCTGTTTACCATGTTGTCGAGAAACATCCTTGTCATAGATTTTAGAATAACTCCTTGAGCACCACCATGAATTTTAGATTGTCTGAGCTTTGAAATGCTTCACCCTGTTACAGAATGAGAAGACCACGGCCAGAATGGTCAGCGATTGGTCAGAGTGCCTCGTGCGCATAGTATTCTGACAGTGATGCATTGCTTTTATCTGGGTTTTGGATATAAACACAAAATGGCGTGAATTCAACATAGGGCCGCAAGAATTCTGAAGCGTTGATAGCCTTCCCACACCCAGGTTCGAAAGAATGACTAAGACCACATATGAAGGGACGCTAAACCAACTTTCAACATGCGTTCCCGTGACGTCATTTCTCCCGCTGCCTCTTCTAATCCAAGTTACCACGTCTATCCTTTTCCTCTAATAAAAACGAATAATCTTAAGAAACTGTCATTCTCATTACGAGAATTTGTAATAGCGACGACGCAGAACGAAATAATCTTCTGGATTTTCAATTTCTATGTGCTTGTACTTTATTGAACAATTTTTCTGGAATATTAGCACCAACAGGTAACAACCTCAAGATGAAACCAATTTCTACCTAACAAATCTTTGACAGTTACATCCGGCTTATTAGCTTTTATTCTTCTGTCCATTTGGAATGCATATGGACACATCGTGTTGAAGGACCGATTCCCGTTTAATCACCGAAGTTATGCAACGTTGAGCCTGGTCAATATATATATATATATATATATATATCGGTGACCGCTTCTTTGGTATGGTTTCCTTTGGTTTGTTTTACGGCATATCAACCTCAATAGGTTATTTAATGTCGACTAGATTTTTGTTGGTGTTAATTTTTTTCTTAAATGTGCCGCTAGCAATTTCTACTTTCAAAAATATATTGCTGGTAATAATTTTTACAAAGTATTTCTGGTATTAAAACCTATTTTGACACTGTCATAGTGTTTTGGCCCCAGGCGCCACCACCCCGGGTCAGGGTGGACCTGGGAACACCAGCAATTAAGAGGTGGTTCCTCCTGATCAGAAGCCTTGCTGTTGGACGTAAAATTATCATCTTACCCAGGAGGCGGATGTAGTTTATCGTCATACCCAGGACGGCGGTGACCGCTTGGGAATACCAGGTGCTGTAATAAAATGTTCCTGCTTTTTAATAATTTGCCTAGCTTTTGGAAGGTATCTTTCGTTATTCAAATGTGCATTCGGATTTCGGTGTTACGGGATAATTTGAAGTGCCAAAAATTATAGACAGCTGGTCGCTTTTGATCTCTTTCTCCCTTTTAGAAATGAACTCAGCCAGATGTCTTTTGTGTGACGTAATAAGTAAAGAGGTAGTGTGGCTGTGGCATGAAATGATTTTAATCGCGAAGCATTGACTGACATTATGTAACAGTTGAGTGCGCTTTTATTTGTTTATAATAAAATACTTTCTTTGGTGTATCTATAAACTTAAAATTAATCATTTTATTATTCTTAATTAATTTTTTATCGTTATTTTTGCCCAGAAAAACATGTCTATTTTTTCTTTTCTTTTTCTTTTTCAGTGCCCGGCAAGCAATTACTAATCAGCAAGTGGATTTACAATGCAGACCTTGGATTTACCCAAAAGGTTGGTTATCGTCACGGTCGATTAGTCATTCCTTCTACTGGACTCTATTTCATCTACAGCCAAGTGTCTTTCTTAGAAATGCTCGACATCGCCAAGCAGGGTGAGAGTAAACAGCAGTCTACTGCTTCATCGAGCCTCTCCCATTATCTCTACCGATATAATATCATCTATCCACGCGGAGGCGAGGAAACGCTCATACAAAACTCTATCACCAAGTGCTGGGGACACAAGAAAGCATTCGGTGAATACACGAGCTACCTGGGGGCTGTTTTCAAGTTGCGACAAGGTGACGAAATATTTGTGAAGGTTTCTAACCTGACATTGTTGACCAAAGATCACAAATCAAATTATTTTGGAATGTTTAAGATAAATTGAAAATTCAAAGAAAAGTTAAAAAAAAAAAAATAATGATGAAAAGGACTGAAAAGTCATGTGAAAGTACCAAGTTTAAAAAAAAATATAATCTTTTAAAAATAAAACTACTGAAACTTCTCTGTTGATGGTGAGAAAACAACAAAATAATAATTGTTTTTTTTTTTTTAAAGTTCGTATGAAAGGTAATGTCAGGTGAATAAAACAGTTCTTTCTGTTAAACGAAAGCTGAAATAAAAAAGCGAAATTGTGTTAAAAAAATAAGTGTGTAAAAGTGAATCCCTCAATCTTTTTTATTAAGTACATTCACGGGAAATGAAAAAAAATAACTTTAAATATTAAACAATGAATGAAGGAAACTTCCCTCAGAAATTTTTAATATACGTTGTGCGTCGATGAAATATATATATATATATATATATATATATATATATATCGACTGTCAATTGTTTTGGTTTAAAAAAAAAATAAAATACAAATGAAATTCAGAGAGTCCAATGTGAAAGGTCAGTTTTTTTTTAAGCCATTCATTTTTGGACGCTCAAAATGTAAATCATTTTTCTCTATATTTTTTTCCTTTTATTAAGGAAGATAAGGTTTGTATGGACATCGGTGTTGGGTTTTTTCTTGAAAAATTCTAAGAAAATTTTTAAAATTTAAATATATCTTGTCTTTTTTTTTTCTTTCTTTTTTGGACATTCAATTCATGATATTTTTTGCATATATTTTGTTTCGATTTTTTTTAATGAGAATTTAGAATGCAAGGAAGATAAGAAACTGAATGAAATGATTGAAATATAACAAGTACTTTTTCATTTGTTGTGATTGGAATGAATGAAAAATAATTTAAAACTGAAAAAAATGCATTCGGTTCTGCGAAAAAAAAAAAACTTTTTCATTTATAAAAATTTCCAAAAATATTAACTTTTACATAAAAAAAAAATAATGAACATATTATTATAAAATATCAAATTTTCTTAACTGATGTGGAAATATTTTAATGCGTGTCTTCGAATATGGAAACAAAATTTACAAAGTACAAATAACTTTATCGTGGATAAATCCCAGAGGTAAAAAGGTCACATATCTGCATACTTGAATTCATATACGCACATAAGTCATGTAATATATATATATATATATATATATATATATATATATATATATATATATATATATATATATATATATATGTATGTATGTATGTATGTATGTATGTATGTATCATACGTACCATATATTGTATTTTTTATACAATGTATATATACAATGTATATAATGTCGCTAAGTAAATCAGCCATATTATACACATGCCTTATATATTGTATACACCATACTTTATATAAAAACATATTAAATATGTATATTATATCATGTATGTATGACCTATATATATATATATATATATATATACATATATAAGATCATCCATATATATATATATAGATATATGTTCATACTTATTATCACTCGTAATTATTAAGTACGTTAAGGCTACCAGTTTCATAGAGTAACACTTATCCACTTAAGAAAACTTCTATTTTGACATTTTTCACCGATTAAGCGTTTTCTCGAATTTTATTTAATTAAATTCTAAAGTTCAATCATGGCTTTGATGAAATAAAATTAGTATTTCTTTTTTTTTTCTTTTTGCTTACTTTGGTTTGTCATCGAAACTAGTCAAAATATACATTTACAAACGTGACCAATATATGTACTCTTTCGACAGATTATAATCTAAACACCAAACAGATAGATAAGAAAATCGATAGATAGATATAAAAAAAGATATGTAAATAGACGGATCGATAGATAGTTTGATAGATAGATATGAAAATCGATAAATAGATATGAAGATACATATGAAAATAGAAATATAGATAGATATTAAAATTGATAGATCTTTCTCCGTATTTTATATATATATATATATATATATATATTATATATATAATAAAAATTATATTGAGCTCTCTTTTGTGGATCAGTTTTAATATTTGATATTAATAGGATCTACTTGGATTTCTTAACCACGGACTTTTTTAACCTGGTATGCGATAACCATATATAATTTTTTTATACATCATAAACAATATTGTTGAAAAAACATGTCTAACAAAGTGGAAAAAGTTTTCGTGTGACGTATTTCGGCTTTTAGGACTTCATCGGATTAAATTTTGACATGACAACATACCTCGTTACTGCGCATGCTTAGTTGCACCAACGTAACAAATTTAGTCCGATGAACTCCAGAAGGAAGGAACGCGTCGCACAAAAACTTTTCTCCACTTCGTCATATATATATATATATATATGTATATATATATATATGTGTGTGTGTGTGTGTGTGTGTGTGTGTGTGTGTATGTATGGTGTATGTGTGTGCATTGGCATCCTCTTTGCATTTTTTTTTTCATCATTTTCTGAATGTTTTGTGTGATGACTTTCTCTCAGTTAGGAATTAAAATACTCCGATTCTATTGTCATAAAAGCCCTGCCAACCCCAATTTCTTTGGCATGCTTTCAAAGAAATTCAGCAGCTAATTTAGTTAAAATCTCATCTTTTGCACTCAAAAGTTCACAAACGCTTTATTTGCTAGAACGATACCACAAAAATTATCGTTCTATTAATTTTGTCATTGGCAAACATTTTTAGTTGATAAAAAATTACCCAACTTTTTCTCAGACACAACCGTACAGAAAACTAACTCGGATACCGTTTTGAAGCACATCCACACCATAATGAGGAAATGCATCCATGTTTTCAAACTATATATATATATATATATATATATATATATATATATATATATATATATATCTACAAGATTGGTTTGTTCATCCTCCTACTTTTGCCTGGAACTAAAAAGCGAAAAGCATTTTTGTCTCAGTCTGTGACAACGCTATTAAGCTTCTACCATATATGGTCTGCTGCCCTGCTGTTCACCTTAAGGTCCTCGACCAGATCCAGAGACGGATATGCAATGTGGTTGGTCCTGATCGGACATCTTGTCTACAGTCACTCTCTTATAGACGTGCCATCGCCTCCCTATTCACTGTCCTTTCTCTTCATTATTTCCTCCATCACGCCTCTTTACTCTCGCTGACACTCGGTAACCCCATGCATACTAGTAGCATCCTGCCTTCCTTGGGGGAAATTCTTTAAAAAAGCTAAGCTTTATCACTTATCTGAAATCATTACTTCATTCATTTCCAAAATATGCGGTGCATTCCAGAAGTTTCGAGACTTCTTCAGCGGAGATGTTTATGAATTTCAAAGAAGTTCAAAACTGTAACATCCTTCAAAGTAAAGATGCTCTGACTTCAATGCTCTTATTATAGCGCGCCAACTACTTCGTGAAGTCCTCATTGAAGTCATCAAATGTCACCGCCTCCTTTATCTTTTCAATGTCTTCAAAACGACTTTCCCTTCAGCTTAGGGAACAAACAAATGTTACATCGAGTAAAGTCTGGACTATAGAGAGGGTAACGAACAATTTTGATGTCCAATCAACGTCAACACGAAATTTCATTACATAGCGATCTTCCAAGTTCTCTTCCCTTCACTACATTCTGAAACTGGCGTGGTCTTTAGTAGGGTGTGTTCAAAGAACATTTACAGATTTTTCCTTCAGTCTGTAATAACAAAAGTTGACAGGTCAACCTATTAAAGATATATTAATAATATACTAAAATTATAATTATCTAGTACAGCTACTCTTTCTACTATGAAGAGCCTAAAAATTGTAGAATGTCCCTCTTAATCAGAAGATATAATTTTCGATTTTGTTCGAAATATTAGCTTTTAAAATATAATTTATATATAAGCCTCATATTTGGAAAAAAAGATTCTATAGATCTCCTTGTAAAAATCCATACAAACGGCAAATGCAAATGTGTATTTAAAATCGAAAGCAAAAAAGACGTTTACAGTATTGTCACATATTTCAAAATATTTATTTCATGAAAAGGTAAGATAGAAAATTTAGAGTTGCAAACTTTTTAGAGAAAGAGCTGATATCACATTTTTATTCACCCACTTTTAACATTTCACAGCAAATTTAATAGGTCATTGCAAAGTAAATAATATATATATATATATATATATATATATATATATATATATATATATATATATATATATGTAAGCAAATATATGGATATAGATCCGACAGTATGAAGAAAAAATATATACGGAAAAAGAAACAAAAATCCTTATATACAATTATGCTGTTTTAATGTTAATATGTCAACGTCGGACGTTTCGGTCTAATAAACCATCTTCAGGACATGTTATAATTTATGAATATGTCCTGAAGATGGTTTATTAGACCGAAACGTCCGACGTTGACATATTAACATTAAAACAGCATAATTGTATATAAGGATTTTTTGTTTTTTTTTTCCGTATATATTTTTTTCATATATATATATATATATATATATATATATATATATATATATATATATATATATATATATATTCGTAGAGTGAATATGTAAAAGGAAGAAAATTAGTAAAAAGTTAAAAGTTAAAAATTATACTTAGCCGAAAAAAATATTTTGTTGGTCTTCATAAAGTCCCTCAGAGAACGAAACCCGTCGGCTAAGAATAGTTTTTTTCTCTTGTCTTTTTTTATATACATACATACATATATATATATATATATATATATATATATATATATATATATATATATATATATATATATATAAACTAAATAAAAATCAATTCATTTTTCTTTGGCTGTCGTATTCAACGAAACATGTTTCAAAGCAACGTTGTTGACCATATATATATATATATATATATATATATATATATATATATATATAGCCAGCATATTTTCATTCAAGAATATATGGCTGAATAATCTGGACATATTATGTTTATTTATTTTTATTTTAATACTCTAGAATTCAATAATAAAGGCGCCGTAGTTAATTAAAAAGTTGATCCGAGAATTTGAGAACATTAAAATAAAAATAGATATATATCCAGC